ACACAGCCCTCAGCTTCAATAGTGATCTCTGCCAGTCGTCTCCCTCTTAAATTCCTCAGCTCACTGCCCCTGGATTATTGAAAACCCAATCCCAGGAAAAGCAGGAGGATTCCAAGTTGGTATCAGAATGAAAAACATGAGTCCAATTATATGGCTTACTGATCAATATCACATGATCGGACATTTTATCTTCCCTGATAAAGGAGAGGGTTTAAATTCTAAGAACCAGGAAGCTTTGTGCTGTTGTTGCTAATTACCGACTGCCCATCTCTCACCACAAGTAGCCAGTGACAGTCGTAGTGCTTTGACTCTGCTAGACACACACAAATTGCCTCATGTTTTCAGTAACTTAGACCAAAAGTTAGCTGTGTACAATAAAACAGGATATGAAGAAGAAAGCAGAAAGATCCATAATATTTCGTGAGAACTCCCTGTTTACCCACTGTCTATAACTGAGTTATTTATAACAGGACATGAATCATTTTTTCCCCAATAGATTAATAGCCCAAGTCCCCCCGAAACACTGCTTTTGGGGACTGAGAAGCTCTAACAACTATCAGAACGAATGCTGAATTGCAGTTTCACACTAAGAAAATATTTTAGCGAGGGCTCTTGTCATCATTAGCACGTAAGACATTTATTGCTTCAATTTTAATGTCTATTTAATTAGCTGCTGTTAGCTTAGTGATCAGTTTTCATTTTGGATATTCCCCCACTCAGATCCCAAAGTTTCAAATTTGAATTTTGAAGCACTTTAGAAAAAAATTATCTTCTAGATAAAGCATTTGTACATTTCTGTGAGTCTAAACATTGAAAATACTGATTTAGTATTTGTTAACTTGACTATCCATTCTTTGTTCTTAGCCAAAGCAATGTTATTTGACTTATAAAATGCAAGAAAGTAGAAGTCCAGTCTCTAACTCTATAGCAGCTCTTGTACATAAACACCTAACAGATGCTTCGATGACGAGATGAGAGTGGCTGAGACCGAAGACTAATCCGGTTGAAGTGCTGTGCCTCTGGGGATCCCATTGATGATGCTGGGTGGGACTTACCCCTCCATGTCTCAGTTCTCATACAAGGAGCAGAGTGGTGGGGGGAGGCGTGATGAAGTGGTCAGCCTCAGGGGTCACGCATACGGGATCTTACATTAGGCATGCGACCTTGGCTTCCAAACCTTGGCAATTTGCTGACCTCTCTTTTTGTTTTCCTCTCTAAAAGAGCCATACCATTTGATAAAACTGTCACTATTTTAAAAATATCAGCATCAATAAATGATACTTAATTTTTAGGGTTGTTAAGAGTGAAAAATTTTTAACGCACAGAACATTCTCAGTGAAAAGGTGAATTCTTATTCCCCTAATGGTCTATCTCCATGCTTTTATGCACAAATGATTTTTAGCTGGAAGCAGCCTATATGCCTCTATTGTGAAGCTGTTCCTTTGCTTTTTATTTGGATAAGTTCCTATATACTCGGCTTCTTTGGGAAGAATGTTTTCATCCTAATTTTTACAGTTTTTTATATTTTCATAGTTTATTTTCATGATATCAGAATGCATGGCCTTGATAGGAAGGCTATATATTTTCTTGAGTCCTTTATAATTATATTTTTCCGAAACACTCAAAGCAATGGTGGTTAGTGAGGCCCGAGGGGGGCTTCACTTTGGTTAGCCCTGGAGTGAGGAATTGTGTTAAAAAGGTGACCACAAGAAATAGTCTGGAGACTGAAGACAGATTTTCTTTACAAAGTAAAAATACAAGGTTAATTTTTGCCAGATGTCAAGGAGTCATTATACATATTTAGACATGGAAATGTCTCCATGGGCTATTGTTTGTTGAAAACAGCACATTTCAGAGCAGTGTAGAATCAGTTCCTGTATGTGTTTGAAAAAAGACATAGAAAGCTAGATATGTAGATAGGCATATAGCCATTTAGAGGTATGCAGATAAGTTTGTGTAAGCCTAGGATATTTTGGGGGGATTTATAAGCAACTATCAATAATGATCACCCTGGAGAGAATAACAAAATTTATATTAAGTAGGAGACTTTTCATTATGTATGTTTCTCACATTAAATATTTTTATCAATATATTTTGCCTTTTAAATAAAAAATATAAAAAAATACCACATCACCACGGTCCTTTGTTGAATCCTACCCATGGTAGCTAATGTGCTAGGTTTCATAGGCATATGAGCTAATATTCACAAGCATTTTGTAAGCTGAGCACAAGTTACACAGCTTGTACAACACTGCAGAACAAATAATGGAAGCCTCCCTTTCTTTACTGTGTTTTTAACTGGAGTTTTCAGAATCTATAAACCTTAGTCAGTGAGCGTTTAGGCTTCGTACTGTTTACCACATAGAAAATGAAAAGAATTTCTTCAGCTGCAATCTCAGATCATCGAGATTACACTGTGAGGGTTTCACTTAAGGTAGAATCTTAAAATAATGTCCTTAAAACCCAGTTTTGTTTTTACCTAATAGGACAGCCCTTGTCACATAATTCATTTTCTGACTTGGAGATGTAAAGCAGGATTTGCACAAAATCCAGTGGGTTTCCTGGCCAAATACGTGATGCTGTTTGTTAAGAATACACTGCTGCCATGCTTCTGGAAACATCATTGCAGGGTCAGAAAGTATTGTGTCTCTTGGCCCCCGCCAGGTGCTCACCACCTGTAAATGAGCACCATCATTTCTATGTTTGCATACAAAATCTGTGACCGTGTGTTCTGTTGGCCTGCTGTAAACTCCACGGTTGGTTTTGAATTTTACTGGAGATGTGACCATGTGGATTCTTCCCCATGATTTAGTCAAGAGGAAGCACACTGGATAAGTGAAGTCAAGTTCATAAAAGGGGCTCCTTCTTATATATATATATATATATAATATCTATACAAAATAGCTAGGATAATTAACCACTAATTTCTATTAGCTCATTGAAAAGATTGGTTTGTGCTTATATTGTTTGATCAAATTTTCATGCTTATATCTTGTACTCTGATCAACTACTTTGAAGATAACTATACAGAATCTATCAACCACTGTTAATCCTCTAAAAAAATGAGTTACTTCTCATTACTTTTGTTCAAAATGATTATTCTGGCATTAAGCTGACCCTTAATTTTAATAAATCTACTTTTCCTTTCCTTTGTATCTGGGAGAAAAACAAAAGTGCTTTCAGCTTCATTTTGTCTCCTTAAAACTGATCTGTTCTCTCTAACACCAACCGAACCTGCCAGACACAGTTGTGACATCCGTACTGTGTGGTCCTTAGATGCCTTCTAAGTAAATAGTCCTCTAGAGCTTTTCTGTCTCTACTTAAAGAGCTGTACAAACCATGGCTTTGGAAATTATAAATAAGCCACTTTCTTTTCTCTGGAATGTCAGTCCTAAGAACAATGTGAATTTACCTCATTCCTTTTAAATGAGGGTTCAAATCTGATTTTCTTTTGTTGTGAACTGGAGAAAAGAATGAATAAAAACATTTAAATTTTGATACCAATTTTAATGGAGGAAACTTTAAAAATTATGTGTGACGTGGTAGAATTTGAGGTCTTTTTTTTCTTTTTTGAAGCCTGATTCATTTTCCTTCTTCAGCTCTATCTGGAGCTTGAAAATGCTTTGTGACCTCCTCTGTCAACCTGCTTTCCCTTTTTCTAGCTTGGACCACTCCCCTTTTCTCTCTTCCTCACTTAGAAAAAGAAAGTGGCAACCTGCGATTCAGGAGTTTTAAATTACCTCCCTCCTCACAAATCTTCACTGGGCTGTCATTTTGCCTACAATAGCCTCACTGCCAAATTCTTTCGATGACACACAAAATATCCCGGATAAAATCTAAATCTGTGGTCTATTAAGAAGTTGTTTATTTACCGGCATGCTGCCTGCACAGTACAAGGACAGGGAAAGTTTTCCAGGGTAAGAGGAAGAAGAGGAATGTGGGACCCTCTTGGGAAGGACTGGCGATGTGAGCAGCCCAGGAGTACGTTTTGGAGAGATGTTTCCTATGAAAAAGATGAGTAGAAGACAAGAGTTTTCCCCCTTTATTAACATTTTTCCTGAGAGCAGAATTCCTAGGATCTCTGAGATGACTGATCATTTCATTTTTAAAAAATTATCAAATAAATGAATAGATGTGAAAGGAACTGTTCTAATCATTCTTTTTTCTTCCACTCAACACTTAGGGAAGAATAAACTCTGTTTGGATACATGGCATCTAGTTATTTTTCTTAATGAAACTGTGTCCCAGAAAGGATGATATTCATTACACACTGGGTAGCAAAGCAGTCATAGGATAAAGTCCATCAACATAGCTTAGAGCAACTTAATAGAAGAAGCATTCTAAGCTTCTAAGCAGTAGGATGCAAGGTTAGAGAACGCGCTGCCCTGAACTTCTAGCAGGCTTGGCAATCCTGATTACATTCTTTAAAAAATCAGAAGTTCAGCCACTTATGCGATGCTTAAATTTTATTTATTGTTCCATGTGAAGGTGCGTTCAAGAGCCTTAGGCAAAGGTTTGAAAGGGAAGGGATAAAGGCTGAACCTTAGGAATTTCTGCTTTCTCTAAAAAAGTATTTAAAAAAAAAATACTCAAGCATACAAAAGGCTAGTATCCATGATACAAACTACTGCAAACAGGGTGGGTTATTTTTTCTCCTTCTTTTTCCCTTTCTTCTTAACAAGTGCTGTGGGGTATGAATTCTAAGGCAGACCCAGCTTATAATCAGTCTGACATGTTTAGCCGAGTGTGACTTGGATAACTGTGATCGTAAACGAGACAAGACGTAGCTTTCAGAGTAATTCTGCAGTTCTCTAGCCCAGTCCGGTGGACTCTGCAAAGCCCTGTGTTCTGGGTTTCTGCTCACGGGGACTAAGGGACAGGTGTGTAAGATGGCTAGTAACAGACTTCTACGACTGACCATGTCACACGCAGAGATTGTTACAGAAGGGACCGAAAGGGATGAGTAAGGCCAAGGACTTGCCTGTGTCCTCCACGCTTACCTTGGCCAGCTGCTCGTGAATCTCCAGCAGGCTGGGTCTGTTGACCTTGGGCCCGCTGACGCTGCCGGTGTTGCGGTAGTACTCAATCTTGGGGACTGCGTCCATGGTATTGTGGCCGAAGGTTTGCAGATAGTATGTGTTAGTGTGGGAATCATAGGCGTGAAAACTAGAGTCTGTTTTAGCAGTGTCTCCATTTTGCAGGAAATTGTCATAGCATCCCTGGTTCCCAGGTCTAAAGCTGATTCTCAATCTGTGCTGCGTTTCATCCCCAAAAGAGGTCTCTTCATAATGAGGTGGGTCGCTGTCATCATTCTCAGCCTCATGGCTCTCCGGGCCCTCGTTTATGACATTAACTTGAAAGCGACTAGTATTGCTGGACACCGAATCCAGAAATATGTTGGAAGAGTTGTTCAGTGACATCTTCCAAAACAGATTCTTTGGACTGAGCTATCTCCCTTTTAATAATCCTATGCTTATTTTTAAAAATCTGTATTTCTGCTTGGAAGCAAACACTAATGTAGTTGTATTAGAGAGCTCCTGGCTTTTGTGCTAGATGAACTCATAAATAGATCCTTGATATATTCTCTCCTATGCAATCTTCGGGATGGTCTTCAGAGCTGTCATTGAAAAAGAAAACTACATTTGTTCCAAACAATACAAATACATTTAATTAAGGTGAGAGTCTGAGAGAATAGTTTTTCTTTTCTCTTCTTACACTTATAAGTTAATTTCACTGAAAACCACACATCCAGTGACCTTAGTCACTTGAGCAATTAAATCCTACAATAAATAACTAGGGCTTTGCTCCAGCAAGCAGAATTTCTAAGGGAGTCACTGATGTGTTACTGTGTTGGTAGTTTTGCTCAGATTCCGTGTAGCTGGAGTCAGGACAACTTTCGGAGAACATGTTACTCTAGCACCTGAGTGCAGCTGGCATGACTGAGGATGTGTTCAGCCTGAAGCATAACTCACTGACAGTACCAACTGCTGAGACTGCGAAGGATTTTTATGATCAATGCGCACTTTCATCATATAATAATAAAATGAAGACTGAAAACTTCTTTTAAAATGCATTCCTGCTAGTTTATACAAATCTATACATCTTCAACTGATGGATTTTTTAAAAGAAACTATGTAACAAGTAAAAAATTACATTTTAGAATGTGAATTAAAAAATGCAACCCATCAAAATGATGTCTCTATAAATTCCTGGATTTTCTACTAGCCTTGAAATGTTTCATTTGCTCACTATATATATATATATATATATATATATATGTAAATATAACAAATGCTGTAAAGGAACCTTTAAAAATACATGAACATTTTTAAAGAGGTAAGTCATATTCCTTAATAAAGTCTATGCTATTTTTAGATAAGATAACCATTTTCTAAGACTCTTTTTAACACCATATTCTCAATAATTAAGGCGTTTACATTTGATTGCGAATTGAATAGACTACCCAACAATTTCCACAACTTCACAGTATTAGCCCACCTTGAAACACTTTCTTTACAATCATATTTCTTCATTAATACCTTAAAAATTTAGGTTTTCAAAATGAGTTCTGGAAAACTGAGATAAATCTAGACAAAGTCTTGCCTCTATCATATTATTATTAAAGCTATTTCTTTGAGTAAAATGAATCCCAACCTAAGCTTTCTAGTAACTTTCCTGGTGAAATTATAAGTGAAGCTGTTATCCTTTCAGGTTTTATGAGCACCTCACATTTCCTCATAGCCTCTGGTCCTTTACTCCACTCCTCAAAATCTACTTTTAGCACCGTATTAAGTGTGGCTTTTGCTTCCCCAGAAATTTGAACTTACCACCCAGGAGCCTGCCTCTAAAGGATGTGTGACCCACAGCACTGCCCAGGTATATATGGGCCACTTACCTGTCTGCCCAGGACCACAAGCTTCTTCTGATTGGTTAGAATTTTCCTTGAAAGGGAGACTTTGCAGTGATTGGCCTGGCAGAGTGGTAGAAACCACGTCCACTCATTAGCTCTGAAAACCCTTTAAGTAACACATCACCAGTAATGACTAGTAAGCCATTAGTCGTTTCAGACAGGATATAAAGTAGTTTCTTTAATTCATAAGGGGAATTAGATTGCTCAACAGCAATCAGTCAAGAAAACATTGCTTCAGTCATTTGGGGCTGGGTTAACTGAGGCCCATGTCTTACTGATGGGGAGTTCTAGAGAGTTCTATTGTTCAGATATGTGCTAAAATACAGCCTTCCAGTGGTAGGCTCTGGATCAAGTAACTAGAAAATGGCATCAGAAATTATTTTATCTTTAATTGTTTATTAAATACAGCCTTGACTCCACTCTGCCTGGGAAGAGAGCAGTTATATAAAGAATCAATAATTTACTGAAAAGATTTCTACCTGGTGAGAAAACTGTTTCCTGCAGGAATCAAACTGAAGCCCATTTTCCGGTGGTGCTCCTAAATGACCCTTTTGTCTCCAACTGGAAAAACGTTTTCATCAAACCTAGTTTTTGATTTTCCTGACAAGCTTTTGCTCCAGTTTGTGAGTTGGTGATTATTAAGACAGTGCAAACAATCTCTCCCGCAGGTTCTGCCATTGGATTTCAATCAGGATGATGGAAACTGTCCTCCTCGTGTCTAACAGGAAAGTGCCCAAGTGATTTCCAGTTGCGTTGGTAGCTTGGTTGTAGTGAGGTACAGTAGTTAAGAGTTGACTCTGGAGCTAGAATCCTTGATTTATATTCTGCCTTCCCCCATTTACTATCTGTGTGAACTTAAGCAAGTTACCCAGTCTACTTGTCATCTTAGTTTTTTTATTCACAAATGTAGCTGTGAATAATAGTGGTACCAGCCTTGCAGAATTTTGTAAGGATTAAGTGAGTTAATTTGCTTTAGGATTTAGAACAGCACCAGTATACACACAGTCCTTGCTTTTGCTATTTTAGCAATCTACACAATTGCTTTGGGACTTATACTTAGTTGCATCTGACATTCTGAGAGTGGTTATTAGAAGTTGGACTAGGTATTCTGCCTATTAAAACAGGGGAGGAAGTTATTGATGAGCACATATAGGGTTATAGAAAAGGGCATAGAGACACCTAACTGGAAACCCTTACATCCTCCTAGGTGGGTACACGGCATGTTACTTATGCTGATAACGTGAGGTTATACTCAAAACACAGAGAATTACAATGTATGTCTGTATAACTAGGTTTCCTTTTAAAAGCCACCAATGCAAGACATTTACCTATTCACCCAAGGGCCCTGATTTCCACACAGAAGGACTTTAGGCACAGACATTAGAAGTGAAGCTGGCTGTTTCAGTTGGGCGTGTGGCCAGGTAGATTGAGGTTGGAAGTCTAAATAAGTTCCAGTCACTGAACCAGGACAGGAGCTGTGACTGACATCGTCCAAACCCTACTTGTTTTTCTCCTCCAACACCAGCTTCCTGCTGCCTGCCTGACTACAGCACAGTGCGAATTAGTTTTAGTCTTGGTCTTACATCAACCAGACATCTTCATTCTAAGGCTTTTATCTCTCACGGTGAAATGAAAGTCTTTGCTCTTTATTAAGGGAATTCAGAACTTCTAGAGCAGATGGGAGATGGTTCGGGGGATATGGACAAAATTACAACCATCCATAAAGTTAACCCTGGGGGTGAACCTGATTTAGGCCTTTCAGAGAGGCGGGCAGTGTGACAGGAGCTGTGCACCACTGTCTGTCCTATTGCTCTTCCTGATGAGGCTCTTGGGAAGGGACAGTGGTGGCTGAGGAGAGTATGACATTGGAATCAAACACTGAAAAATTAGCATTTGATAAAATGTCCATCTTTATTCATTCTATAGCCAGCCTTTTAAACTTGGATTGTTATTATGTTTCTAGCTCTGAAAATACAGGTGATGGCCCTGTTTCTGCTTCCCCAAAAGCAAATCTAAGGCCCATGATAGGCCGTGAATAAAAGCTATGGTTGTTTGGATTCCATCTGGAGACATTGGTGAAGCCACGGATGAAGACACTTTTGGTTAACAGACTTTCTCTGTGAATAATAGGGTAGTGGAGTCATTATCTGAAAATGCTCATGCTTCATAAATGTTGGCGTCTGTGCCTAGATCCCCAGCCCCCAAATGGATGCATGGAGAAGGCCAGAGGAATGAGACAAGAGATATGATCTTTAGGGCTCCAAGAGGACTAAAATCCTCTGCAGAGTTTGTAACTCTGCTAGCTGGCTGACCTACTGACCTTAGGCAGCCCATATTAATCAGAACAAGCAGGGAGTTGAGTGGAAAATGTAGGAAACCTGAACAAGATCTTGGGAGGGGTTCAAGGACCCCTCAGAGAAACAGATGATGCTAATTAAGGAAAACCATCCAGAAGGTCTCCAGATGGCCTCAGCTGTGGCTTATCTTGCCCCGCTTTGGTGTCTCCTCCTTCTCAGTTCAGCCACGCCTAGGCCACACCACAGCCTTGCATGTGTATTCAGCTTCAAGAGCTCCAACACATAAACATTTCTTATCTTTTGCCTTTTGAAGGCTTGCTTAAAAAATTAAAGATCTGGTTCTGCTGTATTAAAGTTACCAAAATGGATAATGTTGGTGGCTGTTTTACCTGGAAGATAAAGAAAACACCTGGTACATGAATACTTATTTTAGAGAGTGCACTTTAAAAGCCTGGGTCACTATCTAGGTATCTAGAGTTCTGACATATGCAATTGTGAGCAAGTTCAGCTGAGCTTAGCTCAGCTATGTCCTCTTAAGCCAGATTACTGCCTGGCTACAGGGTGTTCCAGGCCTGCCCTCTTGTGCAACAGGGGCAAAGAGAGACTTTTTGAGGTGGAAGTTTTTCTGTGAGGAGTCACAACTAACCCAGATGTGTTCTAAATCTACTAGGAGATAGATAGCGTCAGGGAATCTCAGGGGGATGGCTGGCTTTGGAATTACATCTTCCTGAGTGGTAACCATGTTGGTAAGATGACGAAGGGTAGAAGAGAGTATCAGGGTGTATGGAACATGCTATACCATTCAGGTTTAATTCTAAACAGAAGCATGCCCAGCTTGGTGACCTCAGGGAGTTATTTGATCTTTTTGACTCAGTTCCTCATGTGTGAAGCTGAGATAAAAATAAAATGGAAACAGTAGCCCCAAATTCAAAAGAATTGGAAGGGTATCACATAAATGGAAAGCACCTAATTTAATGCTTTCGATCAATATTTGTCTTATTTCTTTGTAGCATGTTTCGCTGTTCTATAGTCCCGTGTGCCGTAAACGTTTGTGGTTTTAGTTATTCCTTGCTATATTCCCTCACTCAGTAACCACGGAGAATCAGAAGTGTGTAGCTGGAAAGACTTTTGAGATGATATAATTCTACCTTTCCATTTTTAAATTAAGAGAATTAAGATCAAAGAGATTGAATTTCTACACAAAGCCATTATTTCTTAGAGTTGGAGAGCTTCTTTTGCTACATCTTGAATAAGATACTAAATAATGACAGCACCGTATGTATTAATGCTCTTTTAGGGCTTTTAGGGTGCTGACACCTTCATTATCTCATTGGTCTTCCCAACATTCTTGCAAGATAGGCAGAATGGTTTTCTTGGCCTTGTTTTGCAGATGTGGAAAATATACTGATCCTAGATAACTTTCTAGATCATAAAGCTAGTTTTTGCCTGGGGCCAAAATCAGAATTCAAATCTCTTGAATTTAAGCTCCTAATTTGAAAACTTATGCCATTCTAAATCTTTATTTTTGGATCTCTGTAGCATTTTCAGGGCATTGAAATTAGCAGAGATTAGTTTACTTGCCCAAGACTGCATAGCTAACTAATGGTGTCAGACTGAGAGTGGATTTTGTGTTCTGGGAAATCCCTCCTTCCACTGTGTTGTGGTAGATACTCTCCTCTCCGAGCTATTTGTATAAAGGATGGTGAAGGGAGCATTAGTCAGAGGCAGGTTTAGTTTGGATCCCAAGAATTCTTGGATTGAAATATTTTATTACAAGAAATTGTGCTAGAAAAATTAAAAAGGTCAGGGCTTTGTAAACATTGGAAATCTTTAGATTATATGGATTTGGGTATTGTTTGTTTGTCTTGGTTTGGTTTGGTTTGATTTTTAGTCCTTTGAAGCTTTTGGACTCCTGGCTATGCTTTAAGAATTCATATTGGCCTCCACAGGTCAGGGATTAGTGCACTGGTCTCATAAAAAATCCTGTTCTGTTTGTTCTTTGGACCAAAGGTCCTTTATGTTTAAAACCCAGTCTTATTATAAAGGCAGAGCCATCTGAAGTCTGGACTAGAGAGAAGGTGCCTGAGCTTTACTAGGGAAAGGAAACAGGATGCCTCCAGGATAATCATTAGCATCAGAAAAGGAGTAGCGCCTCAGATCAGGAAAGAATAAAGATAGTTTCTATGGCTGGAAGCATGTTTATGCTGTACTCATTAGAAACCTCCAGGCAGAGAGAATGGAGTGAGAAATCAAACAGTGGGTCATCATTTACACAAGACGGTTGATGGGTCAATCACAGATGTTTATTGAATTCAGTGAATGAATGAGTTCCTCTCCAGTACACACAAGGTACTCGCAGACACAGCCCCCACTTCTCTCACTGTCCCAACCATAACAAGTCTACATCTGGAACTCTCAGGCAAGTGCGTATTCAAATGTCCCTTTGTCAAACTCTTCAACTTCATCTTCCCATGTAGAGGAAGGCATGCTACTATATGGGTCTAGCAGAATTTTGAAGCATCTGATAATAAGAAGTCCCAAAAAGATGCACAAAATCCCAACGAAAGCAAAGCCAGTTTTTTGCTCCAGTGTCAATGAGAAAGTGGAGACTTCGTTGACGCTCATCTTAGCTGAAGAATTGCCGCAGTAGGTACTACTCATTATTCATGGGTACATTCTTGTGGTTCTTCAGAATTTCTGCTGGCATCAGTGCTTGGCCTAGGGACAAAATCAGACTCACTTTAGTTTTACCCTGGTATGGTATAGAGCAGGAAGTTGTTTCATAAAAATCTGGTAAGTTTTTTCAGATCCTCTTGACTTAACTCACAAAAGATGTTGGAAGACATCAGATATGAGTGAGAACCAAACTAGCACTGGAGATGCTACTTGTATTGTGGTGATTAAAGAATTACCTTTGTGGGTGTATGGAGCTGCCTACAAAGTCTAAATATAAAATCAACTAATTAACCCCCAAAGCCTTTACATCATTGTTAGGTTATCCCTGTTGCTTCTTTGAACTTGCTTCTAATTTTCTCTTGCTTTTTGAATGTGTAGATAATACCATAAATATACATAGAATTCACTCTGTTCATACTCTTTGAAATTCATACCATAAGGTGCCATTTCATCTGATATAAAATGATTCTTTTCAACAGGTGTAATATCTTCTTTCTTGTCACTCCTTCAGCTTTTATGTTTATGTTATGGCTGATACACTAAATGTGAATTTGTTAAAGAAAGCAATTGCATTTTTTAGTGATTAAAGATTTATTTGATCTGATGAGGAACCAGAGTGTTTTGAATTTTAAAATTATGTTAAGACCACCAATGCCTAATGTAGGGTCTTGCAAGTGACAGTAGCAAAAGTTGTGGGCCATCAGCAACCTCCATACTATCCCCATTAATTCTTGGTATCCCCTAAATTATAGAAAATTCCAGAAGCATGTTTTCTCTGCAAATTCAGCTTCAAGACAAAGCCCCTAAGTCCTCTCTTACCAGATTTTCATCCTTAAATCCTACTACATTGAGATTCTAAAAATAAAGCTAAAATGTTCAGAAAGTATATGCCAAACTAAATAAGTTTCCCCCATCTGATGTTGCAAGAAATTAAATTAATTAATCATTGTAAAAATAAAATAGCTAGTTAGATCAAGTGATTACTAATGTTTAGCAACTCGTCTTGAAAGGATGTCACCAATAGCTTGTCATCCAGTAACTGAAAATGCTAGACTTGGTGTTTTCTTTTTGTTATTGTTTCTTCTGGTTGTTTTCTAAAATTATGTTTAAGTAACTAGCCTTTGAGAATATTTTGGACTGAGTATCCTGAGAAGAATAGAGACAATAATTAGGGAAATCAAGGGGTGAAGGAAGTAACTATGAGCTTTGTAGCTTTCAGAAATATTTGGTGAATAATGCAATCAATCAATACCAATCCATATGTATTTTATAATGGTTTTGGTTACAGAGAATTCTATTAAACCTGAGCTGGCAGAGATATTCTCTACTGTTATGGTTTGGGTCTGGATGTCCCCCACAAAAAGGGGTGGGCTTCTGCAGTTTGTGATTGATTCATGGTCTAATGCTGGGATTACGGGTGTGAGTGCTATACTGCCATGGGGCAGGTAGCCTGCATACAATGTAAGGAAGAGAAAGAGGCTTGGTCTGTCTGTCCTCCTCTTTGGCTCTTGTTGCTTTTGCTGTTTTGTGCCATGAACTGATACCCCTCTGCCTTGCCACCCTACTTTGGAGTCAGTTGATTATGGACTGAAACCTCCACAAACTCTGAGCTAAATAAAAATGTCCCTTTTTAATTTGGGGAGTTGGGCAGTTTGTCTCAGCAATGAGAAAAAAGTAACCAAGGCAAGTACATTGTAGGGTATACTGGTTTTTGGAGATTTTTGTTGTCATTGTTTCAAACTGTTCTATTAAATTTCTTTCTACATATCAAATAACTTTTATACCTTACTGAATAAGAGTATAGTGAACCTAATTTTTTTTAGTATCACTTAAGTGACTCAGAATGATTTTACTGAAGACCAAGTTCTCATATTATTTATCCTGGAAAAGGCTTAGGAGAGTGAATTATTCAATGACTGAAAATTGACCATGAGCTTTTTTCTGGCTAAGTTTCTACTTCTCTTGTTCTCTTCAATTAAAATCATTTGTTGAAATACCTGTGTACCCTGGTGATTTTTTTTAATGAATGGAAAAACTGAAAAGCAGGATGTTTCTACCTGAAGATGCTTGATCAAGCCTGGGTCATGTAGCTGACTGGTCACTTGTTTTTACTTGCTTTTTTGCTTTACTTGAGCAAAAACTTGCTAGACTTTGAAACACATTCAGTTATTCAGAGATATGTGAGTGACAGGAGGAAATACACTTGGCTTATGGGTGGACACTGTAGTGTGCCCATCAAGTGTCCTCCTATCAATATCTTTCTGTCTGGTGTCTGTAGCCTTTAGCTGTAAGGGGACAGCCTCCACTGCAGACAGGTGCCTCACCTAAGGTCATGCCCCTTCCTAGGGAAGGTCGTATTCCACCACAGTGATAGTATACAGGCATGACTCTCTGGACTCAAAGGGAAGCAACACTTCAGCTCTAAAGTTCCACATGGGATCAGCTGAGCTGTTCACTGGTGCCCACATCCATTTGCTTCTCCACCATTCTGAAGGTTGAGCCCAAAGACATTCTTTGACAACCAGGGGACATACTAAACTCTGCTTCAGGGTCTGGTTTCAGGGGGCATCTAGCTTACAACAACTGGCATCACAAAAGTTAAACACCAGTCAGGGGTAGAAGAGCTGGTATTGGGGGTAGGAGGGTGAAGCACCAGGGCCAGGACCTGGGTTGTGGTCCCTGAGAGCCCCAACCCTGGTTGTTGTTGTCTTGTGTTTTGAATTCAGCTATGAATCCATCAAGACCTAGGCTTTTCTTTATTGAAAGTTCTAAATAGCCCAGCCTGTTTGGGACCCTTGTACCATTTGGGTGCAGTGGAACAGCTAGGTGGGTCTGGAGTGCCTGCATCCATCTCCCCATGTGTCTGGAGGACTGTGGATTTCTAAGCAAACAGGCAAGCATCACCAGTTCCAGAGGCCCAGCGTTCTGGGGTAAGTGTCCCAAGCACTCTCCCCCAAGCCCAGCTTGTTTGGGACCCTCAAGCCTTCCCGGTGCAGTGAAACAGATAGGCAGGTCAGAGGCGCCTACATCCGCCTCCCCATTCTGGCTGCACTCGGAGAACTGTGGAGTTCCAAGCAAGCAGGTGGGCGCACACTGTCCCCAGAGCCCAGCCTGTTTATGACCCTCACTGTCTAAGTGCAGTGAAACAGTTACGTGGGTCAGAGGCGCCTACATAGGCCTACCCATTCCGGCTGCACTTTGAGAACTGTGGAGTTTTAAGCAAGCAGGTGGGCGCACACTGTCCCCAGAGCCCAGCCTGTTTGGGACTGCGGAGTTCTAAGCAGGCAGGCTAGCACCACAGGTTCCAGAGGCCCAGCGGCCTGGGGGAACTGGGTGCCAGAGTTCCAGAAGCTGCGAACATAGAAGTGGATTTCCAACAGTCCCTGAGGAAGCTTTCGAATAACACTTGAAATACAGAAATATAGGAAAATGACAAAATGAAAGACCAAATTACAATCTCTAACCTAAAGAAACCCTAGGAGCAATGTATATTGAAGAAAATATGCCATACACCTCAAATATCAGACATAATAGCTACTGAAATAAACAAGCACTTCCAGGAAGCTTTAAAGGAATTCAAACTCAAGATAATCTCCTAGGTAAAAGAAGAAATGATAAAAGAAATGAAAGAGATGCCAAACATATCTAAAGAAAACACAGTTTAAAATTGGAGGAACTAAACAAAAAGATAGAATGTCTAGATGAGCAATATAAGAAGCAAACAATACATAAAGCAGATGCACAGAGATATACAGGAAATCAAAAACTCCACTGAAAGCTGTGAAAACCACCTCAATGAAAATGAAGATAGAATTTCAGACCTTGAAGACAGGATTGCAGCTAGTGAACAGGAAAGGAAGGATCTTTTAAAAATAACAAAGAATCAGGAAATAACAGTTCAACAACTGCAAGATGACGCAAAGAAAAACAACATAAGATTGATAGGGATTAATGAAAAAGAAGGGGCAACATAAAGGACATCAAGAGGATATTTAGAGAAGTAATAGCTGAAAATTTCCCAAGCATGGGATTGGAAACCGACATCAGGTTCAGTGAAGCTTATAGAACTCCAAATAGTCATAACCAAAATAAAACTACACCCAGACATATAATAATCACCATCCCAGTAATCCAACACAAGAGTAGATTGTTAAAAGCTGTCAAGGAGAAAAGGCAGATCACTTATACAGGAAAACCTATCAGAATCACAGCAGACTTCTCAGCACAAAAAATAAAGTCAAGAAGAGCATGGAGTGAAGTATTCCAGATCCTAAAGGAAAATGATTTTCAACCTAGACTGATGTACCCTGCAAAACTATCATTGAAAGTCGATGGTGAAATAAGATACTTCCATGACAAAGAACAGCTGAAGAACTTCATGATCACCAAGCCAACCCTGCAAAAAATATTGAAAGACAGTTTAGATACACAAAGGAAAAAACCACTAAGCAAAGCAGACAATTAAACACAACAGAAAGATAAAAATGCAACAGCAGAAAGATAACATGTCAACAATAAACCAACATATAACAGTTATAACCATTAATGTAAATGGTCTCAATGCACCAATTAAAAGAAACAGACTGGCAGAAAGGATCAAGAAACAAAATCCAACCATATGCTGTTTACAGGAAACCCATCTAACCCAGAAGAATACTCATTGACTGAAAGTCAAAGGATGGAAAGCAGTATTTCACGCAACAGGAATCAAAAAAAAAAAAAAAAAAAAAAAAGGAGGAGTAGCCATCCTGTTTGCAGACAAGGTGAACTTAAACCAACAATGATCAGAAAAAAACAAAGAAGGTCACTACATACTCATTAGGGGAAAACTCCAAGAGGAAGAGATAACTATCTTAAATATATATGTATCAAATTCCAGAGCACCCAGTTATATAAAACAAGTATTAACAGAGATGAAAAACCAAATTATCCGTAACATAATTGTAACAGGAGACCTTAACACACCATTGATAACAAGGGACAGATCAACCAGACAGAAAATCAGCAAAGAAATAAAAGAACTGAATCACACCTGTGAACAG